GAGCCCACCATGTTGAAGATGGTGGAAAGGTGTTCCATCCGATGACCAAAGGCGTGAACGCACAGCGTCTCTCCCCATGGATGGAGTCAACTATCGGTGCAAAATGTGGCCAACAAGTAAATATTTGTAGTTTTGCCGTGCGTTGTGATCGGATGTGGCCTAGCACACAATGACACAGGATTTATACTGGTTCAGGCAATGTGCCCTATATCCAGTTTCAGTCGGTCAGTGACTTTATTCCTGAGCCTAGGTGCTCAAAGTTTGTTGTGGGGTTACAAACGAGTAAGGAATGAGAAGGGGGTGTTAGAGGACCGATCAGACTCTGATTCAAGTGGAAGAGAGTGACAGATGCTCGAACGTGCACTAAGTATTGGAGCGTATGCTCTGTGTGTCCAAGCTTATCGGCTATTGAGAGCGTGTAGACTATGTAGCTGTCGACCTCTAGAGCCATCGAGCTGTCGAGCTGTTGAGCTGCTTTTAGTCGTCCTCTTTTTAGGAGAGAGCGCATCCCCTTTTATAGATGAAGAGGATGGCCTTACAAGTCAAAGATGGAAAGGGGGAGAATGTGTACGTGTGCTACCTAGTCTTGTTGCCCACACCATCGGGTACGGCATGCCATCGCCCACCTTACTATTCATAACCTACTGTATCTGACAGGCTGCACAGTGTTCGCCCACCTTATTGTTCATGACCTGGCAGGCTGCACAGTGTTCGCCAGGGACGGCAAACGGCGGCACCCACAATACAGTTTGTGTTCTGACGCGTCTGGAAAGTTGTATAGTGTCCGTCTGACATGGCCTGGCAGCACCGTCCTGCAGGTGCGTTGGGCATGGCAGGGTACGGTCCTCGTTATCACGGTTGACTTGAGCACCTTACCTTATCTGCTCTGCCTGCTCCCTGGGCCCACACCGAGCGGGCATCCCCCGATCGGTCGTTCCCAGTCGGCCCCGACTGTGTCGGTCGGGAAAGAACAGCGAGCAGAGGTCTGGCGTATCCTCGATAGGAGAAAGGGGGTCAAAGTCGGACTGCGGTCCCACCACGGCCAGGCCTTCTGGTTGGGGCACCGACCAGATCTCCTGGCCGGTTGGGGTCCAGATCATGGTCTCGGCCTGTCATTGTGTATCTGGGCCATCCTAGGCACGTGTTGTCGATGCACCGCCTGCTGGGTCGAGTTTCGTAGGGAAGCGGGTCCATTTGGGACCCCGAGTTTATGAACCCGACAAGACCAGACCCACCGGTGGAACTATTCACCGGGTCCGGTCATGACGTGGTGGAGCTCGGGCGAACAGTAGAGAGGACCGGACTCTGGTGAGCATCCGATCACCTACGATAGGACGCATCCGGTCACGAAAAATGCTCTCTGCACCTTCTCTGGATTGGATCGGACGCCGGGAGCTAGTGTGTCCGGTCATATATATACATGTCGTGTCCGGCCACAACTTAACCCTACGCGTGAAAGTTTAGTGGTCGTTGGAGATGGACGGACGAGGTTCCAAGGAGGGACGCGTGGCGGCCATCTGAGGACCGGACTCTAATGACCGGACTCTGGCCAGAGTCCGGTCAGTGCATCCGGTCATGCCTGCAAAAGCCCAGCGGCTCTTTGAGCCAAGGGGGGCCTATATATTGAAGACAACCGGCTCTAGCTCACTCTCTTGCACATTTTCATCAGTGATACACCCTTGTGAGCTTAAGCAACCACCTCCCACTCATCTCCTCCATTGATTCATCGTCAAAGTGAGATTGGGAGTGATCCTTAGTGCATTTGTTTGAGTGATTGCATCTAGTGGCACTTGGGGATCGTTGTGGCTACGGATTCTTGTTACTCTTGGTGGTTGCCGCCACCTAGATGGCTTGGAGCAGCTTGTGGTGATTGGCACAACGTGGAGATTTTTTGTGGCCATCCTGATCGTGATTGTGAGGGGTTCTTGACCTTTCTCCGACAGAGAGCCAAAAGGTACTCTAATTGATTGCTCGTGTCATTGAGTTACCCTCACTTTGGGTAGGTTCTTGCGGCACCCTAGTGAAGGGCTTGGCGTGGTGCCAATTAGCTCGTGAACCACCAAGTGTGAGGTCGACACAACGGGGACTAGCGTGCCAGCAAACACGTGAACCTCGGGATAAAAATTGTGTCATTTGTCCCTTGGTATTCACATGGATTTCATTGATTGATTGATATCTTCTCGCTTGCCACGTGCAGTATACCTCTCTCTACCTCTTGTGTTTACATTCCTAGAGATATCTTGTGTAGAGGTAGTTAAGTAGCTAGTGTAGCTTAGCTTAGTTGGTAATCTAGTTGTAATTAGCTAGTTCACTAGTTAGTGAAGTAGAGACCTAGCCTTTGTGTGCCTAGTGATCATAGCAACTATAATTATGGTATAGGTGGCTTGCAACCCTTGTAGAGCTAGAACAAAATTGCATTTCATCATTTTGTGTACTAACCATTTGCTCTAGTGAATTTGTAGAGAATTTTTATAGGCTATTCACCCCACCTCTAGCCATTTAGGACCTTTCACCAAGCACCTACTAATATGAGAGATGAAAATAGCTTATTTGGCTAGCATTTTTGTACAATTCGAGGGAAAAGAACTAGAAACTTACATGAGCACCCACTGGGGGTGGTGAGCGTTGATGGGGGTGATGGGCATGGGCTTCCCCTTGAAGCCGCCGTGCACAACAGCCATCGATTATCGTTGCCTCCGTGTGTCACGCAGCCACCAACCCTATCTTCAGTGTGCAACCACAACCAGCGGGTTCTCGCCTCCGTGTGGAACCATCACCACCAGTCATGGTCACCTCGCCTTCGGGGTAGGGAGGTAGGGCGCTAGCACGCCGTTCTGGGGTGCCACCGTGCCAATAGAGGTCGTGCGCCAGATGGACTGCCAGCAGCCATGGGCGGCCAGCCAAGGCCATGGGCTTGGGCGGCGTCGGTGGAGGCTGAGGCCAGATGGAGGACCATCGGACCATCGGAGCCGAGTGACGCTAGGGTTCCGGGCGCACGAGTGTAGCGGCGCTTCGGCGCACAGCAATGTCAGGGACGGGATGCACCCACTTGGGCCTAGTCTGTGGTAGGGTGTCCGGCACAGGGCACTGCGCTACTGCTACGGTTGCTATCTCGTTGGGAGTCGGATTGGGTATGGAGGTCGGAGCACTGAAGGCGGCAGCAGGATCGAAGGAGGGATTGCGCAACTAGGACGATACGGTGGAAGGAGGATGAAGAGACGGTGTTGGTGGTGGCGACAAGTGCGGGAGCAGCAGCGATGCACGAGACGAGATCGTGTAGGTCGGAGAGCGCAACGGAGGTTACGGGAGGCGGTGAAGCGGCGGCGGTCAGGCGGCTACTGCAGGCTTGGGCTTCGCCTTGGACTTTGGGGGTTTGGGTTTGGGCTTGGGTTTCACGATGGCGGTGTGCTTGGGGTCAGGATGGGGTCAACAGCCGGATTATTGCAGTGGGGATGCTATGTTTTTTCTCGATTGAGAAGGATGTGGTGGGATTTGGTGATGCGCTGACACGCTGGGCCTTCGGGAGTTTTTTATAATAACTCCAAATATATTAACTAAGACAAAGAAACTAGATTACAAAGGCTTGGGATAACTAGTCCCAATAGACACACATGTGGCACTAAGACTACGAATAAAGTGTAATCACAGTGACTCAAATAGAGGCATTCCCAAACAAAGGAGTAGAGCGGTCCCAGAGGCATGAACTTGCACTTCCTCTGTAAAGGACATAGGAGGCGTCTTCGTCAGGGGCGCCAGGCCTGAAAAGAGAACTAGCCACGATGATGACACCAGGGATCCTCATTATCACACTCCTATGGAACAGTCAGCGCTCTCCTATGCTGCCTGACCGGCATGTGTCTTCGAGAATTAGTAGTCTTGAGTCGTAGATGTTGATTGAGCTTCACCGGACACAAGAGATTGGCTTCACCTCTCCAATTGTTATATGTGAGGACCAGCAACAGATGGCGGTCAACCCGAACGCTTGGAGAAACTACACCACTTCCATGTCGATTACTAGTTTTTTTTACTACAACTACTTTTAATATATAACGTTAAAGCTTAGTACACTAGTGTGGAAACCGAATTCCCATATTACATAGCACAAACAAGTAAAAGCTACTCATGATCTGCTTCGGTAGACATAGATGATTTCCGTTAGGGGCGCAGGTCCGTCGGGGCCACAGGACCCACGAGAAGTGGCCACGATAGAAACATCGAGGGTTCTCGTTCTCGCACTCCGATAGCATAGCCGGCGCTCCTTTGACTGTCTAATGTGTCTTCGAGGATAAATAGTCTTGAGCTGTAGATAGGATGGAGGCTTCACCGAGCTCAAGATATTGGTTTTGCATGCGTCAATGTCAAATCCAAGGACCGGTGTCGATGCAGTCTGTTCGGTTGACTGGTTCGTATCGTTGCTGGTTCGTGAAGAAATACTGCTAGCTAGTCTGTGTGAGAAAAAATACTATTCTAGCTAGAAATTTACGATCCTATGCGACAAGAAGCCAAACGAACAGATGATCGTCGGCGGTCAACCCGAACATGTGTGCATTGCCACTTCTATATCTGCAACGAAACAGAGGAGCAGAACAAAGAAAACTGTCCGTGCTACACACGTGTGAACCTGATGAAGTTCGAGTGGCCTTGCGCTTCCAGCGCAGAAGACGCGTGCCACCCCGAGGACCCCATGCAGAACGTAGGGCCATGATTGAGCAACGTGTGTGCAGCACAGTGGGGCCCATTGCTGCCACGTATCCTGAGCCGCCGATCGACGGTTCGACCGGAGTCGCCTGCAACGGCGAGCAGGATTGGCTGGAGCCGGAGGTGCTGCCGCAGAAGCTTGCAACGACGCCGACGACGACCCTGCGGGCGACGACCTCCGTGATCCCGCGGCAGCAGCTACGAGCGAAGCTGCGACCACGAGCAACTGCTCGCAGCGTTGAGGAAAACGAAACCGAGGCATCAGCAAAGGACACGACGCTCTCTGACCGACGACAGCAGCGATGGATGAACACCCATCCCTGCTTTTATTGATTCCCGCGCATGGACTGGAGCTGGAGCTAGTTGAGGGCGAAGAGGCTGATGATGACCACACAGCCGACGACGACACGAGCAACTCTGGCCAGGAGCTCCAGGCAGCAGCCATGAACGAGGACAACACCCATCCGGGCACTATAACGACACTAACTAATATGAACAGAAGAACTGGGGACCGGCCCTTACCGCCGGCGAAGACGCCGGAGACGAAGGGGGAGGGGGCCGGAGACTGGCAGTACTCTCAACGCTCTCTCCTCGCAGCACGTAACTCTCTCCTCGCAGCACGCGGCATTGGAGTGAAGTCTGAACCGAAGCCTCACGAGAAAGGAGTTTTGAAGTGTAACTTCTTGGTCCAAAAGAAACTGCAAAAATAACGCAAGAACCTGCCAGATCTAACACATTGATGCATGAGAGCACATGCCACAATAGTCTTTCTGGACAAGCCTTGTTGCACCCGTGTGAACAGGTGCCGCCGCCCTTGACAAAAAGGCAATTAGGCTGTGTTCGGCTGGACTTAAATTTTTTATTATTTATGCTGAAAACATTTTTCATTCTGAAATATTGGTAGGGAAAACACTGCTCTGGTTGGAAACTGTAGCCGGCGACGATGGATGCACAGCCGGCGACGGCAGATGCGCAGCCAACGATGGAGTCCGTGGCATCCATGACGCTGGTGCCACAGGTGAAGGGAACACCGACCTAATAGCCGGAGCCTCCCCAGGACGCGATGACCAAGTACCAGCATCGCCGCCAAGTCAGCGGAGGAGCTGACCACCATGAGAAGAAAAGAGAGGAGGACCATTGGTCTCGATGCTGCATCCATTCATGCAACTATTCCACAACTGTGTAAACTAAAACTTGTGCAAGCTAGGAGGAGAGAGGGGTGGCGGGGGCAGCCCCCTCCCCCTCACCACCGGCGAGTCGCCGGAGGAGCAGAGGGAGGGGGCCTCGGGGATGCTCGCAAGAACTTACCCTAGTGGCTCAGTTTGTGGTGGATCTGGATTGGAGCTGAGGGAAGGGAAGGAGAGGGAAGGGGATGATGCATCGGTAGATCAAACGAGTATCTATCAATCACAGATGTGGAGATGTGGAGTGGATTTGGAGATAATCTGGATTCAAGGTGAGTGGGGATCTGATTGGAGAGGAAGAAGAGGGAAGGAGGGGGAGAGAGAGAGGAGGGTAGGTGCCGCGGCAGTCCGCCCATGAAAGATGCTTGACGCAGTCGAGGAAGTAGCAGCTAGCACGCTGCTGTTTGCATTTTCTGGGCCTTCGGGAGTTGCTGCTGGGCCGGATGGCAATAAGCCGCGTCTGTCTGTGGGCTACTTTGATCAGTGCAATGCTGGAAGCAGTGTACAATCTTACGGATATTTTCCGACCGTATTCGAAACCGAATCCGTTTAGAGGGGTTGAGATCCGTCCGTATCCGAGTCCGGATATCCAACATCCGATACCGTATCCGTATCCGAATACTCAAATTGCATATTTATGATGTCAATATCCAATCGTATCATATCCGACATAGTTGACACTATCCGTATTCGAATCCGAATTCGGACAGAAATATGAAAACAAATATAATATCGGTGATATCCGTCCGTATCCTATCCGTTTTCATCCCTACTTCTCATCGGGGAAAAAAGAGTAACTTGGCTCTACAATGCTATATGTGTATACGTGCTAAATTTTTCCCTAAAGATGTCGGATATGCTTGAGAGGACCCAGTTGCAGCTGTACGTGCACCCCTAGCTTTGTTAGCCAAACATTTGTATCTTTAAACATTTGGTCCCAAACAATTATAGAGATTCGTGCTGCTATTTATTTGGTGAATGTAGGAATTGATTTTTTTATGAGATGGAGGTAATATATTTCTAGGTTCACAGCGAGCAATGTTTTCATAATATATATCCCATAAATTGTGAAACAAAAAACTTAAAATAATGGTACAAGATCGTAATATTTGACTTAGAACAAAGGTACTGCGATATGTAAAAAAAAAGAGACTCTCCTTGCGTTGAAGGGTTATCGGGTGCTAAAGTTCTAGGTAGGTCTTAGGGTCACGCGTAGTCAAGTTGTGGACGGGCCCTATGGCCTCAAAATGTGGATAAGTCTGTGAATGAGTTAGTAGCGATTAAATCAAAGGTTGTTTAACGGTACACTGGGCTAAATTCAACTAATACAGCGCACGACAAATTTGTGTACCTTGCTTCGAAAACCGAATATGGGAGGGCATGGTGCTAATAAGCATATAACCATACAAATGCATTATCATTACCACATATATATGGTTTAAGTACTAGCACGTAAAAGGGTTCCACATAGAATGCTAACACACGTCTGAGACGGTGGAAACTAATATTCCATATATACAACCACCATGGTAGCACTCTTAGACACTAAAAGTGCAGTCTATTCGAACTTTAATTACTTATTACTGACAGGAACTCACACAGATACTCAGCATGACTAGCTATGTAAAAACTTGTTCACAATATCAATTGCAGTAGACCTCACATAGCATTCTCATGCTATGTCCTCCATAATATGGTCTCCTCCACTTAGATGGGCATGTATAGATTTTGTAGCATCTAGGACATAGGCCAGCCCCAAACACCAGCAATATGGCGAATTTTCGCAGTTCGCTCTTTTGCAAGGGCTTTTGTACTTGCTTTCATCTCATATATGGAATCAGAAAGACTCACGCGCCCCAAAAAATATTCTCTTAGTTCCGGCACACCGATTGCCTTATCTAGCCTAGTGTGGTTCCTAGTCTTGTGAATCGACGTAGTATCAAAATACTCTTTTAGTTCCTCGATTAAGCCAGCACGAACCATATCATCAATACGGCGACTCAGATACTCATTAAGAACCAACTCATGGGCATGGGCCAGAGTAGGCAACTTCGGAACCTTAGATTTGGCTTATACCTTGGTATAGAAAAAGGGTACCAAGGGAGGGATGAAGGCGGTCGACAAGAAATCCATGCATGAACGAGTTTGACCCACATACTAGAACTGGAACTCTGCCACGTCTTGTAATAGACTCCGCAGTACTTGTTGCCATAGATTGAAAGGAAGGTACAGACAAGTCATCTGCAATTGATGAAATAACCCCAAATAAGTGATGAGGAATACCTCCTTGATCACTTGGCCGGATCTTGTTAGTTGCGATGTCGAGACCCGCATATATTTGCATCTTGTCAGCATTTACCACTTCACCACCAATCACCTTGGATATATCAATTGATAGCTTCGTCTTGCCCGTGCCAGTGGCACCCATGATTATCACCGGTTTAATCGACAACATCTAGGAGATGTAGTTCGGTCCGGTGGAGGTGAGGGAGGTTGGACTGGAGTGATGAAGGGGAAAGTGCTTATGGCCCTGTAAACCTTAGGTCTACTAGCCCACAGTGTAGGAAGAGTAGACGGTGTGGTGGAGCGGAGGAGGAAGGTTTAGCGCTACGAGCCCTATTAACCTAGTGCTCCCAAGCTAGGCATGGTATAGACGCACACATTTTCAAATCTACTTATATTGCCAACTATATGGTTCATAGATGAATACACACATGTAATAGCATAATAGGAGGATAAATAGATGGTATATGGACATCTACAAGACCGCCATCACCATGTTGTCACCTCATTGCCGCTAAAGGCAAGACCATGTTGCCAACTAGGCAACAAAAGGCGTGCCCATGAAGCATCGAGTGTGCCTATCCTATATAGGGCGACCATCATCGTACGAGCCCCTTAATACACCCAAACAGACATTGTCTTCACTATAGGCACGCCTAGGCCATCCCAATGCGCTTGGGGGGGCAGATCAGCCTGCGAAAGACATGGATGCTCCATCAGAAAAGGGCTCAAGGCACTATTGTACCATGCATTGTAGTAGCGCATAAAAGCTCCAATAGATCTTTTCTCAGTAACCATAACGTGAGCCTGGTGTGGGCCACGGCACAAAGAATATTACCTTGCGTTGGGGAGTCCGGTGATTTGTCCTCGTCATTTTTACATCAAACTCGACTTTTTATTAAGGACATCGATTTTGTATGCTTCTGTTGGGGCTACCCTTAATACTTTTATGCAGTTCGAGAATGTCATAATCATCTTCTTTTTGTTTTTGTATACTTTCGCTTCCTAGGTTCTTCATTCCCATTGTAACTGTAGGCTCATTTGCCTACAAGTCATGTTGTCTTTATAGGCATACTACTGGTAGTAGGGCATACGGTCGGTGCACGCATTCAAAAGGGTTGGCAACCTAAGGATGCTTGCATTAGTTCGTGACCCTAGGCGTGGTGCATAGTTCAAGGTCACAACTTTAGTGTTCTGGGTGACAGTGACGTGACGACACAACAATGGTGTTCCCTTGTAAGAGGGACCTACAGCAGGTAGCCTTACATCCCTTGCATGGAAAGTGTAAGGAAAATGGACATTTGGCCCATTTACTTTGGATTTTAGTGTTTGATGATCAACACGACCAAATTGCACTAATGAAGTTGCAAGTGATTGTTTTATAGTTCAATAGGATGCAAGACGTGACTTGGATGAAGGCGACGTGATGATCCGATGATCAACACCATAAGCAAGACCCTAGAAGCACAAAAGAAGACCCAAGATATCAAGCAAAGTTCAAGCACGAAGATAGGAACCAAGCCGTACGCAAGATCATGAAGAAATGAGCTCACAGAGGTGACCGGACGCTGGAGGAAAGTGACCAGACGCTCCAATCAAGAGGCTCGGCAACAGGCGTGACCGGACGCTGGATCGAACTGAAAGCTCTAGTTTGGTTTTGGTGAATTGATAAAACCCTAAGTGCTAACCTAGTTTATCAAGTGATCATGAGATAGGTAGCACATTCCAAGTGGAGAAGCAAATGAAGATCATGACATGACAATGGTGATGCAATGGTGATGATCAAGTGCTTGGACTTGAAAAGAAGAAAGAGAAAAACAAAAGGCTCAAGGCAAAGGTATAAATTGTAGGAGCTATTTTGTTTTGGTGATCAAGACACTTAGAGAGTGTGATCACATTTAGGTTTGATAGTTGTACTATTAAGAGGAGTGAAACTCGTATCGGAATGCGATTATCAAAGTGCCACTAGATGCTCTAACTCATTGCACATGCATTTAGGATCTAGTGGAGTGCTAACACCCTTGAAAATGTTTGTGAAAATATGCTAACACATGTGCACAAGGTGATACACTTGGTGGTTGGCACATTTGAGCAAGGGTGAAGAAGATAGAAGTGAAAAGGAGTTAGTCACGCTGGTCACAAGGTGATCGGATGCTGGTCTCAGAAGGACCGGCTTGTCCGGTCAAACGTGACAGCGTAGACGCCAGCTTCGGTCAAACGATCAGACGCTGGGTCTCGGACTGACCGGACGCTGAAAGGCTGCGTCCGATCTCAGCTGATGTGGCAGCCTAGTGATCAGGGTAACTGACCGGACGCTGGTTGTGTCCAGTCAAGCTTGATCGGACGCATCCAGTCAAAGAAATTCGTTTCTAGAACCTTACTGGAAACGACCGAACACTGGAGGCTGAGCGTCCAGTCAATTTGTGCGCTGCGTCCAGTCAGCAGACGACCGTTGAAATCTAACTAACAGTATTTGAAGCAGGGGACACGTGGCGTGTATCACATGACCGGACGCGGAGGGCCTACGTCCGGTCGATCGAACCAGAGCGTCCGGTCACCCCGCGCTGTGCCCAGTGAAGGGGTACAATGGCTCTATTTTATGAGGGCTTCTATTTAAGCCCCATGGCCGGCTCAAGCTCATACTCTTGGCCATTTGCATTGACATAGCAACCTTGTGAGCTTAGCCAAAGCCCTCCCACTCATCTCCATCATTGATTCATCATCTTTGTGAGATTGGGAGAGAATCCAAGTGCATTGCTTGAGTGTTTGCATCTAGAGGCACTTGGTGTTCGTGTTTCACTACGGGATTCGCTAGTTACTCTTGGTGGTTGCCGCCACCTAGATGGCTTGGAGCAGCGAGGATCGTCGAGCGGAGGGTGGTGATTGTCTCCGGCTCCGATCGTGGTGATTGTGAGGGGTTCTTGACCTTTCCCCGGCGGAGCGCCAAAAGGTACTCTAGTGGATTGCTCGTGGCTTGTGTGATCCTCATCTTGTGTTGGTTGTGCGGCACCCTATTGAGGGTTTGGCGTGTGATGCCAATTAGCGCGTGAACCTCCAAGTGAGTGAATCGCCACA